GTTTCTAGCTCTCTATCCCTCTCCCTTTCTCTCTGTAAAAATCAATAAAATATATTTTTTAAAAAATAAAAAAGAACCTGGTGTAGGCCAGGGTTGTCCAGCTGGGCCCATTAGCTCCGTGGGGGACATTTCTGGAACCATTTTTGTGGTCACAGCCAGGAGGGAAAGGCATCCATGAGCATGGATGTCGCGGGAAGCCACCAAACACCCTCAGGGCACAGGCGGCCCCCACAGTCACACGAACCCAAATGTCCAAGTGCCGCCGTGGGAAACATGCAATCCCTCAGCCGGCTTCCACGCAGGGCCCTTGTGTGCGTGCACCGGAAGGTGGAGGGGAGGGGGCCGCACACCCGTGTCAGCTGCCCGTGACACTGCTGCCGAAGGTCCTGTCCCTCTGCATTCCGGCAGCAAACACTGACCATCTGCCGCTGTGCCCTGTGCCATCCTGGGTGCGAGCACCGCGGACCGGCCCCGCGCACCCGAGTGTGTCCTGTGGGAGGAGCGAAGCAGGACCAGAGCACAGGCAGTGCCAGCGGCCCAGCGGCCCCTCAGGAAGGAGGCCGGGCGGGCGCTCCGTGGCCGACGCGCAGTGGGAGGCTGTCAGGGGTGCACAGGAAGGGGCTCTGGCCCTGCAGGAGGAACCCTGACGACATGCCTCGCGGATGGAGCCGGACGCAGAAGGCCTGCCCCACACGTGTGCTCCAGAGGAGCCTGCGGTGAGAGCGTTCAGCCCGGAATGGATGGAGCACGTAGCACTGAACCCTCTGAACGGGCGATCTGAGCGCCCTGAGAGTGACGTCGCAATGACGCTGTTCTGTGCGAACCTGATCCCAGGGGCAAAGGTGAGCCCAGCGAGGTGGAAGGCAGGGCTTCGGCCTCAGGTGGATGCCTGTGGGCGGGGTGGACAGGCTGAGCTATGGCCTCAGGCGGATGCCTGCCGGTGGGGATGAGAGAAGCTGAGCTTGGGCCTCAGGTGAGACACCTGCAGGTGGGGATGGATAGGCTGAGCCTCCGCCTCAGGTGGACGCTTGGCCAGCGCGGATGGAGTGTCGGCTCCCAGCCATGTGAGCACTGTTCGGGGCATCCAGGCCTCAGGGCCCTGCAGAAATATTCCCACAGCTGCTTCAACCCAGAGAGGTCATGACCCCGGTTGCACAGCTGTGCATGAGGCCCGGCTGGGCCCTCCCTGCCTGGTGGTTGGGGGCTCTCTGAGGACCTTGCCTCTGAGTCTGGCCATGCACCTGAGAGGCCCTGGAGCAGAGCAGCTGCCCAGCAGGGCAGTGGCTGCTCAGGGGCCTCCTGTGTTTATTTTCACCCCGAACCACAGAGGGACTTGGGCAGAAAGGGCCGGCCCGGAGCCAGCAGCGGCTCAGGTGCCAGAGTGATGCCGGAGCCTGCCCGGTGTGCGGGAGGCCAGCGTCCCCATCCTCCACCCCTCCGGGCCCTCTCCTCTGCCCTCCTCCGGGGCTGCCCCCCAGCTTCTCCACTCCGATCAGGACAATTGCAGGTGGGTGCATGGGCGGGTCCCCTCCTGGCTCTGCCTGGAGCAGGAGGCATGTGTGTGTATGTGTGTGTGTGTGTGTGTGTGTGTGTGTGTGTACAGTCTCCTGATCCCACCCTGAACACCAGTGCTGACCCCAAGCCGGAGAAGGCCTGGGGGTGCTGTGGTGGGCGGGGGAGCCCACCCTCCCGCTGCTCAGCACTGGGGCGGCGGGCTGGTTTGTGTGTGCCTGGCTTCCTCCTTTTGTCCCCATTGAGCTGGGATGTCCCCAGGGGTGCAGACTGTCTCCCTGGGAAGGGCTGGGGGCAGGGCACTGTGGTCGGCCCCGCAGCATTCTGGTCTGAGGAGAAGGGAGCCCACTTCTCAGAGCATCTGGCCCCAGGCGGCCCAGGGGCCACGGGACTCCATCCGGAGCCCTGTTCAGGCCCGGCAGCCCGGCCGCGAGGACCCACGTCAGGATGGGGCTTGGGGCCGGCGCCTCCAGGCTCGGGGCCCACCTCCAATCTGGTTCTCTTCGGCGATGGGGAGGGGCCCCGGGCATGGCAACTGGGTCATTTCCCAGGCCCGAGCCGTCTTCCCAGGGCTGGCACACCCCGTCCTGCCCTGGGGTTCGGGAGGCGGGCTGCTTGTCACTCTCCGGCGCTTGGCTGGGCCCGGGGACGGAATTAGCTCTCCGCTCGCACTCCCCACGGCCCGCGCTGCCAGGCCATTGGGGAGGGCCCGGGATGGGCCTCCTGGGAGCCTGCCCAAGGCTTTTTCCCCGGTTCCTCCGGGAAAAGATCCAGAAAAAGACTGAAAGTGTCCAAGCAGCGAGGGAGGGGGAGGAGGGGACCAGGCCAGCCCGGCAGGCAGGAAAAGCCCCTGGGGCCACGACCCCGGCTCCGCTCTCACTGGGCCTCTGACTCCCACGTCCTCACATTCCCGGCCTGAAGGCCAAGTGCAGCTTCATGGAACCCCAAGAGGCAGATCCTCCCCGAAGGCTGGCCCCGAGCCAGGCTGGGAGCACAGAGCCCGCCTGCTACTCCAGAACGGTCAGAAAAGTCAGGGCGCAGCCGGCGGGACCCCCACTTCTTCCTGCTCTTCCCTCCCAGCGCACCCAGACGGGCCTGCCCAGCCTGGCGCCCTGTGAGGACCAGCCCCAGGCCCCGGGCTGTGGGGTGGGGGGCAGCAGCGGGCAGCCGAGCCCAGGGCAACCTTCTAATGTCCAGACACCAAAGATGGGTGATGCGTGGACACTCCAGGCTCAACCTCTCCAGGCCGGCAAGGGTGCCAGGCCGGCCCCTTCAGCAGCATTCTCCCTGCCCCGCCCTCTGGCCACACACAGCCGCAAGGACCACAGTGAGGGGGACGCAGTGGGAGAGGCGGCTGGTGGGCTGGATCGGGTGCGGTTCCCATTCTGACGTGGGTACTCGCCAGCCGCACACACCTGGGCACGCAGCTGCTCTGCTTTGAGCCTGTTTCCTCACCTGCAAAATGGTCAGTGCCTCTTTGGGCCTCTGCCCAGCACCTGGCGGGCACCGAGAGGTCACCAAGTCTCCCAGCTCAATGTCGTCTGCCTCCCGCAGCTTCTGCCCACCTCGCAACCTCTGCCCCTCCCCCCCTGCCCTCCTGCAGCCTCTGCTCCCCCAGAGCCTCTACGCGCCCCCTAGCCCCCGCAGCCTCTGTCTCCCGCAGCCTCTGCCTACAGCTGGTTTTTCAGGGTTTTTCCCGTTCTCAGGGGTGTCATCTTCCGCTGTGTGGCAGAGGGCATTGTATTTAGAAGTCCTGCCACCCCTCCATGGAGATGGTATACCCAGCTGCCTCCGTGGGAAGGCCTGATCACATGACCGGCTCTGGCCAATGAAGTGTGAGCAGAAGTGCCCTGCACTGCTTCCAGGCAGAGTGTCAGAGCCAGCGTGCGGGCGGCCGGGTGAGTCTCCCCGTCACAGGTCACGTCGTCCACGCAGGCTCCTCGGTCGGCCAGGGTCCCCGAAGGAAGACGATGCAGCACGGAGCAGCAGCCACCCTCCACGGGCAGGCGGCCTGAGGCCTGGGGGTCACATGCTGGCTGCTAACACAGCGTGGCTGCTGGCATCCGGAGGGGCCCTGGAGAGCGGTTTCCGGTCTTCGGCTGCTGCGGGGGCCGTGGGTAACCAGCAGGGAGGCGCTGGGCCTCAGGACTCAGCAGGCAGGTGCTCGGTACACGGTGGGCGCCATCAGGACGTGACATTTCTGCACACAGACCAGACCCACCCCCACCCAGGCCCTCCTCGGCTGTGAGTGCTCATGGCAGGCTTTAAGCAACCCCCGCAGAAGTCCCTCCATTGGATTTGTGGCCGGGGGCCTTCTCCTCACCGCCTCCCCCTCCGCTCCCCCGCCCCGAACCCTTTTCTCTGTAGGGTAAGGTGACCAGACGTCCCGCTTTCGGCGGGACAGTCTCCATTTTTAACAATTTGTCCCGTGTCCCGTGGCGTTTTAAAACACATGTGTCAAACACAAGGCCCTCGGGCCAAATCCGTCCCGCCAGGCCTTGCAATGTGGCCCGCACCGCGCTGTCATCACTGCACTCCGCTGCGTTTCCATCACAATGACAGTTTATGACTGTTCAGTAAACCATTCGGCTCACGACTTAGGCTGGATTTTAGATTTTGGCCCCTTCTCTGATTGAGTTCGACACCCCTATTTTAAAAAAAAAGTTCCGATTTTTGGAAAGAATCTTTCCAAATTGTTAGAGTAACAAACCTAACAAATGGTTAAAAATCGGGACGATCTTTCCAAAAATCGGGACTTTTTTAAAGGGACGCAGGACAAATTGTTAAAAAGCGAGATGTCTGGCCACCTTACCGTAGGAGCTGTGTGGACAGAGGCTACTTAGATCGGACACCAGGGCCCCCTGTCCCTGTGCCCAAGATCAGGTTTGTGAAGCTGCTGCAGGAGCGGAGAGCGCACACCCGGGAACCCGGGGCACCTCTGCTCACTCCTCCTGGCTGGCACGGTCCCGATGCCCAGCCCGTGCCCATCTCCCCTGGGCACAGACCCCCTCCTCCTGAGCCAGTCCACTTCCACCCCCTGCAGCCCACGTGGCACAGGCCGGGTGGTGCTGGTGTCTTCAGGGTGTTGGCTTCTCGGCAGCAGTCCCCGCTTGGCGCCCAGCACCTGCCCAGTAGACACCAGTGCTCAATGGGGACCGATGTGCTCTCCTGAGTTGGTGGCTTCATGGCGGGCAGGGCCGTGGCAGCCCCGTTCACGGCTATTCAGAGAAGGGGGTGGGGGAGCAAAGTGCTCCCTAACCCCTGGCGTCGGGAGGGGCCTGGCAGAGTCACCCAGGACCCCCTCCGCCCAGCCCAGGCTCCAATTCCCTCCCGATCTCTGGCCTCTTCTCGCTCATTTCACTCCTGTCCGCTGGGGGGGACCCCACACAGACCAGCTCTCTCTCCAAGGACGGGGGGCTGTGGTTGGGGCTGGTCCCTTCCCCACTGCCACCGAGGACCAGGGCCAAGGATTTCAACCAAGCAACTCGCAAAAGCCATCTCTCTTTATTTTTCTTTCCTGCCGTCCACACCGGTTTGCAGAAGCTGAGGACGAGTGGGTTTTGGAGGGGGAGGAGGATCATCTGAGCACAGACCCTCCCAGAGATAAGTCTTTGCATCCTGCTGCGGCTGGTTAGTTCTGAGAAGCGACTTAACCATAAACTCTACAGAATCAGAAATGTACAAAAGTGCCACGGCGGCTGCTGGCTGGTGTCTCGCCTCCCCCTGGGGGCCAGAGCGATGCCCATCAGTCCTGTGCAAAGGTCCTGGGGCCGGCGGGGGGCACCGGGTTCTCCCCGGGGAGAGGACAGACCCGCCCGCCCCGCAGACGTGTGCCGAGGGGCGGGCGCGCGGGTGTGTGTCCGGGTGCCACGGCCCCAGAGGGCTCCGCGGCTGTTGAGCGTGTCTCCGTCCCGCCTCTATGTCCGCCCTTTGAAAGTGTTCATGCAGGTGTAGGTTCCTGAGAATCTGTGTATCTCCTCCAGCGCAGCCTGTGGGAGTATGCTGCGGGGAGCGAGGGGAGAGAAAACAGGATGGTCAGCGGGTGGGGGCCAGCAGCTGGGCCACGTGTGGCCACACAGGATGGCACAGTAGAAGGATGCCCCTACGCTCTCCCCACCCCCTCTCTCAAGCCCACAAGCCACTCCCCATGTGGATAAACCACGGCTTACAAAGCAAAGGGCGGGAAATAACCTTTCAAAGCCACATTCTTTGCATTTTAGGGCCCTTAGGTATCTCAGCAATCAAGTGACTCCAAATGCCACTTATCCTACAAATATTTACTAGGTGGGGCAAATATTTACTAGACTAGGGGTCCCCTCCTCCAGGGACACCCCCCACACGCACGCCCAGGCTCTCCCTGGGCTCCCATGGTGCACTGCGCCCCCACAAGCCCTGGTGTGGGGGAGGCAGTGCGACCCAGAGAGTTCACCTCTGCGTCTGGCCCCTAGCACAGACCCCGGCATGAGGGGGCCTCAGTCCATTGGTTGAATCAAATTGAAGGGCCCTCGCCCACTGTGGTGCAACATGGGAAAGGCCCCCTTCCAGCGGGAGCAATCTGGAAGGCTTCCTGGAGGTGGTGTCGATGGCGTGAAGCCTGTAGAGATTTCTCTTGGGGAAGGGGAAGACGTGGAGTTGTGCGGGGCATGGGGAGGAGGGGGAGGGTCTCTGCTTCCTGCGGGAGGGTAGCAGGGGGCAGAACAGAAAGTGTAGGCTGGGGCTTACTGTGAGAGCACTGAGGCGGTCTAGCCTTTTTCTAGAATGTCTGAGAGGCTGCTAACAAGCTCCTGAGGTGGAAGGAGGCGGCCAAGGAGCATCTCGGAGCAACAGGCAGCCCGGCCGTGGTATGGCCCCAATGCCCTCAGGCGCCCCCAGCCCCGACCTTGCTCCTGGCTCTGAAAGGGCTTTGAGTGTGAGGAGGAGGGGCTGATGGCAGCCCCCTGCGCTGTGAGGTCTCTGTGCCCGCAGTTGGAGCCGAGCCGTGGGGCACAGAGCCAGAGGGAGGCGAGGTGGTGTCCGATCCAGGGACCTGGGTGCCTCACTTCCCGTAAGAGCCTCTGGGCAGAGGGTGCAGCCAGCCAGGCTTGGGGGCTGGAGGTGGCGCAGGGCCCAGAGGAGCCAGGAGTCCGTTGCCATGAAACCTGCGTGGGTGGCACGGAATGGCCCCTGCAGGTTGGGGCTCCGTGGGAAGGGTTTGCTGCCCGAGGTCTGGAAGGTTCTGAGCATATCCTGGAGGCGGACCATCTCCTCCCATCAGCCCCCCTCCCAGGCGGTCTGCCCCGGGAAACCCACCTGACCAGCTCTGTGACACCTCTGTGGACCCTGCAGCACCCGAAGCTCCGCCTTCCCCATGAGACTAAACTTCCTGAAGGCTGCGCCCAACAAGGTTCTCAAAGTGTGGCCCAGGAACCCTTGGGGGTACCTGAGACCTCTCCGGTGGTCTGCGAGGGCAAGCTACTTTTATAACCAGGCTAAGGTGTTATCTGCCTTCTCACGCACCCCCTCACAACAGATTAAAATCAGAGGAGAGAGAAGAATCCGGTTGTCTTCAATTACGTTAGACAATAAAGAGCTTTGCAAGGAAGGAAAAGAATGCCATTCTCCTCACTACGTTCTTTTTTTCCTTCTTTTGAAAATGTATTTACTTTTCATAAGAAATCATTTGTGTTAACACAGAATTGAATGAATGAATATTGTGAATATTTACAGATTTATACACTTATTTGTAAAAATGTTTTCCCAGTTTTCGTTTCTAAGACAGTAAGCAGTAATAATACAGCTCACGTAAGCTGAAGCTCTTTGGGCGCCTCAATCACTTTTAAGGTGGTAGCCCTGGCTGGTCTGGCTCAGTGGGTAGAGCATCGGTCTACAGACCGAAAGGTCCCAGGTTGATTCCCGCCATGGGCACATGCCTGGGTTTCCGGCTCGGTCCAACAGGCAGGAGGCAGCCAATCATTAATTCCCTCTCATCGCTGATGTTTCTATCTTTCTCTTCCTCTCTGAAATCAATAAAAACATATTTAAAAAAAACACTTCTTAAGGTTGTAAAGGGGTCCTTCGACCAGCAAGTGTGAGAACCGTGGCCCCAAATTCAGGACAGGACATCCTTGGCACACAAGCCCTCACTGCTCGTCTCCACGCCCACAGCAGACATGACTAGTCGACCCCGTGTTACTTCTCCTGCCGGAGGCCTCTTCCCCACGGGGCCATGGGAGGTTGGCAGGAGCCTGGCCCCGTGCAGCTCCCCGGCTTCGTACCTTTTCAAGATGATGAGGGCGTGCATCGTCCACGGGAGCAGCAGGAGCGCCTGGTTGAGCTGCACGGCCTCCACCGTCCTCCGGGCCACCGTCTCCGGCTTCAGGGGCGGGAAGAGGTTGGGGAACCTGATTGCAGGGAGAGACACAGTGGGTTTGCCCAGGGAAGCGGGTGCTGCTGTGCACAGTGCCCGCGGCGGACAGGTCTGGGTCATCCCTTCGGCATCTCCTTGAGAAGAACGGCTGGGACCCTCTCAGCTAACAAGCTCCTGAGGTGGAAGGAGGCGGCCAAGGAGCATCTCGGAGCAACAGGCAGCCCGGCCGTGGTATGGCCCCAATGCCCTCAGGTGCCCCCAGCCCCGACCTTGCTCCTGGCTCTGAAAGGGCTTTGACTGTCTCAGAAGGTCCTGACTCCCTCCCTCTGCCCACTGAGTCTCCTTTTGAGAATCAAGGACTCGCAGCCCAGCCCCCAGGGCACCCCTGCGCCCTCTCCTGGGCTCCCCGTGTTCTCTAGAGCCCTGCTCACTCCCGCCCCCCCACCCGCCCCTCTGCTCCGGCTCCCGGCCAGTCTTTGGATCCTGACACCGAAGTTCTTTCCTGTCCCAGGGTCTTCACCAGCTGTCCCATCAGGGAGGCGTCTGGGCTGGTCCACTCGGAGTGGCCTCTGATCTCGGTCCCCACGCCTGCAGTGGCCTGGCTGCTGGCATGTTTCCTTATTAACGGCCTGTCTCCCCACCAGACTGTGCGCTCCCCGAGGGCAGAGGTCTGCTGGGTCTCACCCCCCGTTGTATCCCCCGTGCGCTGTGTCCGCACATAGCAGGTGCTCAGTAAACGCGTGCTGAGTGGTTGCATGGATAAGCGACTGGCTCCTCCCCAGAGGTGTCCCGCTGGCCCTGCCTGGAGACAGGGAGCCGGCGGAGAATGGCCTCTGCCGGCCTGCTGGGTCGCTCACACACGGACACACTGAAACCTTCACAGAGGGGCGAGCACACGACTGAATAAGCAAACATCGGGGCTTCTCATGCCCAGGCACAGGCTTCCGGCCTGATGACGCCCCCGAGTGCCAGGCGGGAATCACTCCCCCCAATTCACAGAGAGGGAAACTGAGGCTCTGGGGAGTGGGTGGGGGGTGAGGCCCCGCCCCCGCCCTCACTCCCTGCCCGGAGGCACAGCGCCCATGCCTCGGGCTCTGACCTCAATCCCACAAAGGGCTGGGGAGTTGCTCTGGCACCAGGAGGATTAAGGCGGATGAGTCACCTGGGTCTGATGTCACCCTGAGCCAAGGGCGACTCCTGGGCCCCCCACGCCACTGGCTGGCCTCTGAGAGCCCAGGGATCTCACCTCCCCACCTCCCTCCCTGCTGCCCTGGGCTTCCTCAGTGTCCCACTAAGATCCCACACGCTGCCATCGGCAACACCAGCCTCCAGGGGCCTGCAGGGGTGATGGCGTGGAGGCAGCTCGCTGGTGGTGGAGCCCCACAGACAGTCGGGCTTTCCGTTCCCACCTGAGCCAGTCCTGCTCCCGGTGAGGAAGGCAGAGAGGGGAGAGACTCGGCCCCGTGGTCCAGGGAGGGGGCCCTCCCAGGCAAGGCCCCTGCAGGCAGACCAGAGGGACCCTCAGTTCACCTCTGTGGGAGGAACCGGCTCCCCTCTCCCCGTGGGGGTGGGAGGGGTATAGAGAACCAGCAGGGCTTTCCACGCTCACAGAGGCAGCACCCACTCTGCAAAAAGCTTGCTCAGCCGATTTCTATCTGTGTGGCCTTGGGCAGAGTGAGCTTGCTTCTCTGAGCCTCAGTTCTCTCGTCTGTGAAATGGGGAGAGAGCTGGCTGGTGGGGGGCAGGGGGATGAGGGCTAACTGGGGGCAGTGTTTCTAAAGCGTCTGCTGTGGCTGGAACACAGAAGGTCAATCAATGGCAATTAACAAATAGCAAGCGCCCTGGCTGGTTTGGCTCAGTGGATAGAGTGTCGGCTTGCGGACTGAAGGGTCCCAGGTTCGATTCCGGTCAAGGGCATGTACATTGGTTGCAGGCACATCCCCAGTGGGGCGTGTGCAGGAGGTAGCTGATCCATGTTTCTCTCTCATCGATGTTTCTAACACTCTAGCTCTCTCCCTTCCTCTCTGTAAAAAAAAAAAAAAAAAAATCAATGAAATTATAAAAAAAAAAAAAATAGCAAGCATCTCCCTCCAATCCCCCCTCCCCGGCCCCCATAGGGCACTGCTGCTGGGAAACCCATTGATTGTGTCCTAACACCCGCCTCCCACCCTCCAGCATGGGGGGCTGCTAGGCCTGGCTGGGGAGGACGCCAAAGCTCTCCTCCGTTTTTCTTTCTTCAGGAAATGGGAGCTTGGTGCTGACCAGTCCCCCTTTCCTGCTCTTCTCCCAGGCCTCGGGCCTTCCCTGCCTGCCAGGGAGCTGGCCTGCAGCCAGCGCTCACCCCTGCCAGGCAGGCGGGCAGGCAGGCTGGTGTCCACACCCAGGAGCCTGGGACCCAGGAAGCGGGCCCACTCATCCACCCCTGCCTGTAGACAGGAGACCAGGCACAGACGGCGAGGGGCTCGCCCAAGGCAGCGCGGAGCTGGGGTCTGGTCCCAGGCAGTGGGAACCCACACTTAGCGCCGCTGTGGGAAAAAGACTTGGGAAAACCTTGAGTTTCCTTCTCATGGTGGCGGAGAGGAAGCTGCGGGAGGGTGAGCTAGACGGAGGGCAGAGGGCGAGGTCCACCCAGTGTGCACATCCGGAGCACTTCCTGTATGTATGCCCAGGTAAAAGGAACCAAACCAAGACCTCATGGCGGGGGCGGGAGGGGGGGGCCCGGAGCCAACACAGAGCAGAAACAGGCATGGATCCAGCCTCCTCCACATTCAGAGTCTATGATCATTTGCGTGCAAGTCAGGTGGCTATGCACACTCCTGTGACACCGGAGATAGGACCTGCCAGGATGATCTGTAGCAGATGCTTAGGAAGATGGTCATTGTTAGTGGTGCGCGGGCAGGTGGGCTCAGTGGTTAGAGCACCACCTCAGGCACTGAAGGGTCCTGAGTTCCATTCCCGGTCAAGGGAATGCACCTCAGTTACAGATTTTTTAAAAAATATATATATATTTTTTTTATTGACTTTATTGACTTTATTGAAAAATATATGTATTTTTTATTGACTTTTATTGATTTTTTATTGACTGCCCTGGGCTTCCTCAGTGTCCCACTAAGATCCCACACGCTGCCATCAGCAACACCAGCCTCCAGGGGCCTGCAGGGGTGATGGCGTGGAGGCAGCTCGCTGGTGGTGGAGCCCCACAGACAGTCGGGCTTTCCGTTCCCACCTGGGCCAGTCCTGCTCCCGGTGAGGAGGGCAGAGAGGGGAGAGACTCAGCCCCGTGGTCCAGGGAGGGGGGCCCTCCCAGGCAAGGCCCCTGCAGGCAGACCAAAGGGCCCCTCAGTTCACCTCTGTGGGAGGAACCGAGAGGAGGGGAGAGGGATAGAGAGCTAGAAACATCGATGAGGGAGAAACATCAACCAGCTGCCTCCTGCACACCCCCTCCTGGGGATGTGCCCGCAACCCAGGTACATGCCCTTGACCGGAATCCAACCTGGGACCTTTCAGTCCGCAGGCCGACGCTCTATCCACTGAGCCACACCGGTTTCGGCTCAGTTGCAGATTTGATCCCCAGCCCCACCATGGGGCACCTGAGGGCGGCAACCAATCGATGACTCCCTCTCACATTGAAGTTCCTCTCCTCCCCCAATCTCTCCCTTCTACTGCCTCTCTATAAAGCAAAGGGGAAAATACCCCCGGGTGAGGATTAAAAACAAGAAAGAGCTGTGGTTCGTCCCTGAGCCCAGAGCGTGTTTTAATTCTCCTAATAATCCCTCGGAGGACATACGTTCCCACGGTTTTACAGACGAAGCAGAGTGAAGCAGAGGCTCAGAGAGGTGACAGACCTGGCTCAGGATGTCTCAGCCGCCCAGCCACCGAGGCGTGATTCAGAACCCAGCGCTTTGATTCCTGATCCCCAAAACCAAGCTCAGTTACCATCGCAAAGCGGGGGCGAGCGACTCCCCCGGGGCACCCACGCCAGCGGACGCCTCTGATGGGCATGGAGGAGAGGCACCCAACCTAAGGGTTACCGTTTACCTCTGCCACCGCCGCCCAGATCGAGAAGAAAGAGCGTTCCTGAACGTCTAGACCAGTGGTCGGCAAACTCATCAGTCCGCAGAGCCAAACAGCAACAGGACAACGATTGACATTCCTTTGGAGAGCCCAGATTTTTAAACTTAAACTTCTTCTAACACCACTTCTTCAACATAGACTCGCCCAGGCCGTGGTGTTTTGTGGAAGAGCCACACTCAAGGGGCCAAAGAGCCGCATGTGGCTCTCGAGAGCCGCGGTTTGCCAACCACGGGGCTAGAAGGTGGTTGCTCCCCGGCAGGCTCTCCCCACTTCAGGGGCGCCCCAGTTCTGACTTCCATCACTAACGGCCCAGTTCTGCCTGCTCCGGAACGCCATGCGGACGGAACCGCACGAGCGCGCTCTTTGCCTCTGACTTCTTTTGCTCAACGTGATGCTTCTCCCTTCCCCCCCGGGGGCCTCCGTGTCCGCGCTGCCCTCTCACGGTGGGGGATACTCCACTGCACGCAGCGGGACTTGAAAGGGCTCCCAGCCTGAAAAGCAGGACCCTGCACCCCCACAGGGCCCCCCGTCTCACAGAGTGGGATGCCAGAGCTCCAAGCCAAAGGGAACAGGCTCTGGTGCTTTTTAGATTTGTGCTCTCTCTGTGCATAAGCCTCCTGCCGGGTCCAACCTGCAGTGGGAGAGCCCTCTACTCACTGACCTGACCCTCATGCCCTGGAACATCTCGGTGCTGGTGTGGAAGGGCAGCACGGTGGTGGCGCTGACGCCCGGGCAGTCCAGCAGCCCCAGCGTCAGACTCTCCATGAAGGCGAAGGCCGAGGCCTTGGACGTGCAGTAGTCGATGGCGCCGGGGATGGCGGACAGCGCCAGCACCGAGTTGAGGCACACGATGTGGCCGTTCTGCAGCTCCAGCATGCGTGGCAGGAAGGCCTTGGTGGTCTGAGGAGGGGCAGGGGGGTCAGTGTGGAGCAGATGTGCCTCCCAAAGCCCCTCCCCCCTCTCTCAGGGGGAACAGACCACCCTGCCCTGCAGCCACAGAGCCGGGAGCTGCCTCCCGGGCCCTCGTTCCTCCTGTCCAGCGCCTTGTTCTTGGGTATCCATCCCCCTGGGCCTGAGCCCAAGCCCTGGTGAGTCTCCCCTCCTGCCCTATGGCCGCCAGGCCCCTGGAGGGAAGGCCCTGGTCCCTGCCTCGCCCGGGCCGGGTCTGCACGGGAGCCTCACCCAGAACTGGCCCAGTGTGTTGATGTGCTGCGACTTGAGGAGGGCGTCATCGTCGCTGTCCATCAGGCTCTTCCCGTGGACCACGGCCGCGTTGTTCACCAGGATGGTGATGTCACCCACCTGCAGGCGGGAGGGGCCGCAGCTCTGTCAGGGCAGCCCCGGCGCCCGGCCCCCTCCCCCCAGCCCTGGGACCTGGGCAGCCACGTCGCCATGCTGAGCACCGGCCTTGATGTGTCAGATGCAGCTTATGGCCATACCAGAGATGTTCTGAGGGTTAGAAATAATTTATGGCGCATCCTATACCTGGCACAGAGCGCATTCACCACAAATGAGGTTATCTATAATAGTAAAAGGGTGATATGCTAATTAGACCGGACATCATTCCGGATGTCCTTCCGGACAATGCCAGGGCCGGAGGGAAGCCAGCTGGGTCCCAGGTGCCTACTGGCGGCTGGAGGATGGAAACCCGGGTCCCGGGCGCCAGAGGGAAGCCGGTGTCAGCAACTCCTGCACGAATTTTCATGCATCGGGCCTCTGGTTGTTACATAAATATGAGCATTCACCGTGTGCCAGATGCTTACCAGGTGGTCTCTGCTCTCTGGGAGCTCCCTGACTCACTCACAACCGCCGAAATAGACGGCCGGAGTCAGGAGAAGCCTTTTCCCAGAGGGCAACGAGGCATTTGGTCTAAATTCCAAAGGGGACAAGAGATGATTACTCCTGTCATTCATCAACCCATACCCCTCCCTCGTCCCTGCCCTTGCAGCACACACATGCACACATACATGCACGCACACACATGTGCATGCACCCTCGGGCCAGCTTCACAGAGAGTCGTCCCCCCCCAACTCACCCCCGCAGGCTGCTCACCTTCTCCCGCACGGCCTTGGCCGTCTGGTACACCTCCTCCCGGTTGCCCACGTCACAGATGAAGTAGTGGCACTCGGTGCCCATCTGCCGGATCTCCTCCGTGGTCTCCTTCAGGCACTTCTCGGTGCGGCCCCAGAGGACGATCTGGAGGGAGAAGATAAGGTGCTGAGCTGGGGGTCGCTGAGCAAGCCGCTGCGGTGCAAGGCCTGCCCCCAGACCTTCAGTATTCACAGAGTCTGCCCAGAGACTGGCCTTCCCGGCTCCATCCAAAGGGAGCATGCAAAGCAAATTAGCAAGATGACTTTTTAAAAAGGGATGCAGCCCAGCCAGTGTGGCTCAGTGGTAAGCACCAACCTACGAACCAGGAGGTCACGGCTCGATTCCCGGTCAGGGCACCTGCCCAGGCTGCGGGCTCCATCTCCAGTGCGGAGCCTGCAGGAGGCAGCCGATCCATGATCCTCTCATTATTGATGTTTCTCTCTCTCTCCCCCTCTCCCTTCCTTTCTGAAATAATTTTTTTTTTTTTTTAAACAACCACCTTCTGCTGAAACTGGTTTGGCTCAGAGGATAGCATCGGCCTGTGGACTGAAAGGTCCCGGGTTCGATTCCGGTCAAGGGCATGTACCTTGCTTGCGGGCACATACCCAGGAGGGGGTGAGCAAGAGGCGGCTGATCGATGATTCTCTCTCATCGATGTTTCTAGCTCTCTATCCCTCTCTCTTCCTCTCTGTAAAAAAATCAGTAAAATATATTTAAAAAGAAAAAGAAAAAAGAAAATAAAAATAAAAAACCACCACATTCTGAAAAGAAAAAAAGAGAAAAAAAACACACATAAAAATAAAGGCCTCAGCCTAAGCCGCAGCGAGCCAGGAGGTTCTGAGCCCATGTCTGACCTCAGTCCTTGACGTGACATTTACAAGACTGAGCCATTCCTTCCAGCGGCCCCCTCCTGCCTGCCCCGTCCCAGGCATCCCACACAGCGACGGCGGAGCAATCACTGAGCTCTTTCTGCAGAACGTTCCAGAATGTTCTCAGCGGGGAACAAGCTGGCCTTTTCAGCAGCGCGGGCTGGAGCCAGGTTTATGGACACGGCGGTTAGATCGCGCCGGGAGGTTCCGGCCGGGCCGCCAGGCGCCTGTGCTGAGCGGCCTCCACCTGGTGTGGTCACACTTGGTCACACTCGGAAGGAGGGCCAGGCGCAGAGGCAGCCAGGCTCCCGCTGAGAAGGAAACGCGCCCCCCCCCCCCCCCCCCCCCGCCCCAGTTCATAAACTCGGAGCTCATCAGGCTGGGAGGGGACCCTGGCAGGACCAAAGGATGAATTCTTTTTTTTTTTTTTTTTTAATATATTTTATTGATTTTTTACAGAGAGGAGGAGAGAGGGATAGAGAGTTAGAAACATCGATGAGAGAGAATCATTGACCAGCTGCCTCCTGCACACCCCCTACTGAAGATGTGCCCGCAACCACGGTACATGCCCTTGACCAGAATCGAATCTGGGACCTTTCAGTCTGCAGGCCAATGCTCTCCACATGTGTCAAACACAAGGCCCGCGGGCCAAATCCGTCCCGCCAGGCCTTGCAATGTGGCCCGCACCGCGCTGTCATCACTGCACTCCGCTGCGTTTCCATCACAATGACAGTTTATGACTGTTCAGTAAACCATTCGGCCCGCGATTTAGGCTGGATTTTAGATTTTGGCCCCTTCTCTGATTGAGTTCGACACCTATCCACTGAGCCAAACCGGTTTCGGCCAGAAGATGGATTCTTAAAGGGGTTGGACAAACCAAGGAACAGCAGCCATAAAGGCTCAGCAGAGATGCCTGGCTGTCTCTCAACCTTGACCTAAGTGAGAAGGACACACCTCACGGCCTGCCCTTGGGCCCAGAGGGGCAGGTCCCTGTTGGCAAAAGGGTCAAGGGCGGGGGGGGGGGGGAACGGGGGACGGACTGTACCCCAAGGAAGACTCAGCTCAGCGCAGAGGGAGGGAGGGAAGGCAGGGGCTGGAGACCATCGGAGAGAGGAAGAGGTGAATGCTCCTGGGGATTCATCTGATGGTTTCTATGTGTGTTTCTTCTCTTGCTTCTTAAAATTATCGATGAAATGCCCCCTTCAGAATAAACCCCAACATGTGAAACCAGCACAAAGAACACATTCCATGTCCAAATCCACATTGTCTCTCTCCACCAGCAACGGAAGGACGGGGACAGACGGGCTGTGTGGGAGGCACACATTGTCGAGGGGGACACAGACGGAGCGCCGACAGGTCGGACCGAGGCCCCAGGATTCTGCTCTTTGAAACACAGGACAGCGAAGTCCCACCGACCATCAGCCGTCGGGAGTTACACTTCATGCACGGTTCACCTTGAAATCTCAGAACTTGCCCTTCAGGGGGAAGGGGCACAAATAAGTGTAGATTTTATAGAATGGATTTTACTTATTTTTTATTGAGTTTTTAAAACATCTGAACTAGTTTTAGAAATAAAATTAAATAAAAAAGTGGGTTCTCAACCGCTTACACACCTCTGGGAAAGCCCTGCTCCAAAGCCCCCGGTGTCCGGCCACTTTATTTGTTTTAAAGAAATACATTTTTCCTGACACCAGGAAGGGCTGGGCGGGGGCTCCATCGGTGGCTCGGTGGCCCAGAGGTGCATCAGAGCGAACGGACTGCACGGAGGCAGCAGGGGACACTCCTTGTCTGCTGACCTAAGAACAGAACGAGCCTGTGCTCCCAGGACAACTGGGGAGTCACTGCATGGAGCAGCTTAGACCACACAACTCTTCCGGAAGGCAATTCGGGGTACGCATGCTCCACTCCCCAAGCCACCTGGCCTGTAGCCACTGTCACCCAAGCTTCCTTCCATCCTTCTTGTCACTCCAGCTGTCCACCATCATCCATCCCCTCACTCCGTCCTTCTACCTACCCCAACCTCCATCCACCCATCCATCCACCTATCCATCTACCCATCCATCCATCCATCCCTCACTCCTTCCTTCTACCCACCCCAACCTCCATCCTCCCATCCACTCATCCATCCATCCATCCATCCATCCATCCCTCATTCCTTCCTTCTACCGACCCCCTCCAACCATCAATTCATATCCACCCATCCATCCATCTACCCACCCACTCATCCATATCTATCCATCTTCTGAGTATGTCCGAGTGAGCTTTAGGTAACCCTCGGCCCCCTTTCTCCCGCTCTGGTCCCCGCCTAACCCCATCCCACCTCCAGCTCCTAAGAGAAATAGGACCCTGGGGCTTGCGTGGTTCCCTAGGGTCTGGTGAGGCCGCGAGAGGCGCCTCAGAGATTTCTGGGGACAGAGAGAGGAAGCTTAAAGTTGGGGGGAGGGGGGAAGAGGGGACTTGTTGGGAGGTGCAGGGGGTCCAGATGCCTGGGAGCACAGTGGTCACCTTCGAGGGTCCAGATGGGTGCCATTCATCCTGGAACCCTGGTCTTCTCAGCACAAACATGGCATTCCTGCAAAAGGGGAGCCGAGGGCCTGGAGCTGCTGGGCCCCACGTTCTCAGGCACGGCAAGGAGGGCAGAGGTCTAACGCCCCAGGTGTCTGTCTGCCCAAGAAGCTGGCAGCCAGGGCCCTGGGAGCCAGCCCTGTGTACGTGGCTGGAAGGACCAGCTGGAGACGCAACCGGGAAGGGAAGGGAAGGCTGTGCCGCGCTCCCATGGGTGGGGGATGTGGCCCGCTGGGCCCCGAGGTGTGGCCATTCCCTCTGAGGCTCCAGTGAGGAGGCCGTGGTGGCGGGGCCTGGCCTCCTCAGGTCTGAGCTCGGTGGCCCAGGGCCCCGGGGCTTTGTGACAACCCTGCCTTCTGCCCTCCCACCCAACCCCGCAGGGCGGGAGCCCGGGTTCTGGCCTGGCCGCTGTCACAGCCCAGCGCCCAGCACAGCCCGTGCTGCTGGCTGAACGGATGAGTGGAAGTTCAGGGTCACAGGTGGGATGGGGTGGGAGGTGGTCAAACAGCAGCCTCCAGCCTTTCGGACTGCACAGACCACCAGTTGGCGACGGCTGGTTAAAAAGCCTCCCTAAGCCTGAGACCACCCGATGTTCCCTGGCAAACACCGTCAGGGACACTGCACTCTCCGCCCGGAGACAGGACCGGCTGGGCGCTTAGCGTGCTAGACACCGTTTAGGGCACATGTGTCAAACACAAGGCCCGCGGGCCAAATCCGTCCCGCCAGGCCTTGCAATGTGGCCCGCACCACACTGTCATCACTGCACTCCGCTGCGTTTCCATCACAATGACAATTTATGACTGTTCAGTAAACCATTCGGCCCGCGATTTAGGCTGGATTTTAGATTTTGGCCCCTTCTCTGATTGAGTTCGACACCCCTAGTTTAGGGGCTCAGAACCCCCAACACAGAGTTAGACCAGCGGTTCTCCACCTTCCTCATGCCGCGGCCCTTTAACACAGCTAGCTCCCCATGTTGTGGTGACCTCCAACCATACAATTATTTTTGTTGCTACTTCATAACTGTATTGTTATGAATCGTAACGCAAACATCTGTGATTTCTGATGGTCTTAGGCTCTACAGCAGCGGTTCTCAGCCTGGGGGTCATGACACGTTGAGAACCGCTAGCAGGGTCGCCTAAGACCATCGGAAAACACAGACATTTACCTTACAGTTACGAGGTAGCAACGAATATAATTGTATGGTTGGGGGTCACCACAACACAGGGAGCTGTACTAAAGGGTCATGGTATTAGGAAGGCTAAGAACAAAGAGCAGGCAAGCCCTGGGGTTTCCCTTCCCCAGTCCGCGGCCCAGGCCCCCGTGGGGACCAGAGTCATGGACCGGGAAGCTGGCTGGTGCAGCTCAGCTGGCCCACCCGGTGGCCCCTGCCCAGACCACCTGTTGCCCGCCCTGGACAGCTGGCAGAGGAGGCCCACCCAGCGCCACACGCGAGCGAGGACTAGGCGGGCAGGAGGCGGGTCTGAGAGGAGGTGGGGCAGGCAGGCTGGGAGGGGACAGATCTATGAGCCCGTGGAACCCCCTGCGGCCTCCTCCTAAGTGACTCCCATGAAGGGGAGCAGCTGGGGAGGGTCGGCGCCCAGGATTGACGCCTGAGCTGGGCTTACCCATACGGGCTCGGGGCAGCTCCGCACCTCCCGCCTCCTCCCTCTG